CCCCAAAACCCCAAAACCCCAGAAGCATAGATAATTGTAAACAGTCATTATTATTAGTAATTAAATTAAGATTAGAGATAAGTGATTCAGAAATCATAAACGTAATCTATGTATCCTGGGACTGCCATCGCCAGAACCTTTTCTCTTTCAAAATTCAATCTGTCTCTTCTCTTCTTCTTTATTAGACATTGATCTTGAAACGGTGTTTCAATATTAGTCTATGAGCCATTTAGACTTTTAACGACTATATTCTTATTAATAAATTATCTTGGATTAAAGCTTGAATTAAGCGGACTGTCATTCATTTTAGTTCCGAGCTTAGGAGTTTGTGAGGTGATTTGAGTATTTTTTAAAGTGGGAGTATTAGGTAGCTTCAAGATGTGCTTTGGTTCCTTTAGCTATATCTCTCTGTTAATAATTGCTTGATTTTAAAGAATTTGCTCTTGAATATCAGGCGGTTATTAAATTCTAAAAGTAACCTTCTGATGGTAGAGCTATCTTTATTATTAATTCTAGAGTTAGAAATTCTTAAGTTAGTTGCTATTCATTCCTTGAGTTTAGGCTATCTAAGAAATTACTCTCTATTGCTTGTTACGAGGGGAATCTGAATCATCATTACTCAACGCCTACAAACTTAACATGCTGTTAAATACTTAGTTGCTTTTTTCATTTGTTTGAGCAACTTCTCTCATTGAGATGGTCTATGGGTCATTATGATTTTTATTCCTAAAAATGTAGTCAATATCCCTTGATTGATTTTTTATTTAATGAGAGAACAATTCAACTTTTCTATCTCTGTATTCTTTTAACATTTTCACGAACATCTTACAATCATCTAGATTGCTCTTTCCTAATTGCAATTTATTCTTTTGAATCTGTTCTTCCTCATTACTGTCAAATCCCCCTTAGTAATCAAAATTGTTTCTTAGATGCTTTTGCTGTTCTTGATGTTCCCTCCCATCCTTGTACACAATTCTGTAGTGTTATTTAATAGGTGAAAGATATTATTGCAAAGTATAGTTATCCATTGATTGATTAACTATTCCTTTAACAGTACTTTACTATTACTTTGATGACTGCTAATATCTCTTATTTTTGACAAGTCTGCGATAATTAAATCTCCCTTAGAATAGTTTATTCAAATTAGTCACATTATTTATATTGTTGTTAGGTTATGACTCATTGACATGAGATGATCTAATTTAGCTTTTTATTTTCTATGGGGACTGATTTTTCAGATGATGAAGCTGATTCGGATGAGTTTGTTGGTGAATAATAATTTTTTTGGGAGGTGATCGATTGTCTTAACTTTAGCGATATGACTCGAAACCTCTGAAAGATAAAGTGGCTTCAGAAGAATTAGCCTCCTCTGCATTGAAACATTCAAGATTTGTTCCATGCTTTTTAGGCTAAAAATAGAGCAGACCTGAGCGATTGAAATAATCCTTTGGGCCTGATGCATTCAACTAAACTAAAGAAGGCTAAATCACAGGTCTTTGACTCTATGACGTATCTTTCTTCCTGTGGCTCATTTTCTTCAAGAATTTGCCCTTTTACCCCTTGCTGCTATTGCTATTAGCTCTCATTTACTCATGAAAGGTCTAAATTTCAATCAGTTTTATATTTCAATAGAGTTAGAATTAATGACATTTTAAATTTAAGACATCTAAGAAATGAATTACTTACACTAACAATATTGAGATCTTCGTTATTTTTATGTACTCCATTCTTGTAGAACTTAGATTCCAGATATTAATTAGGAGTTAAATGTGCTAAGTTTGATTCAAAAGTCACTCTATCAAACTCTTCTACTTCTTATCTTTCTTCATTTTGGGAATTTTAGCTTCTCATGGTATTTTTCTGCACAGATTGATTGACTAAATTTGATGCTTGCAAATTAACTCTATTTGTCGATCCAGATCTTTCAGAAACCAAGCTGCTTCTTATTAACTCTTCTGCTCTTTAATAATAAATTGGCACATTTTAATGTTTCCTTGAATGCTTAAATGGAGATGATTTCGTTATTTAAACCTATGATTGGGGTTAAATGTCTAGATTTAAATTTAGCATTGGCTTAAATTCCCACTAGATCACACTTTATCCTGAGAATGTTACGGTTGGACGATCAACAGAAGATAGACTCTAAGTTATTGATAAATGTATTCAAAATATTACCTGGTTATTGTCAACTCTTGAATTTTATTTCATTATTGTTTCAATTATTCTAATTTCAAGCTCAATTGCATATATTTTCCTCTTATGGGGTTTTGGGGTTTTGGGGTTTTGGGG